ACCATATCGCCATATGCATTGGCAGTAGCAAGTTCCTGTACTTGCTTGCAGCAGCAGCAATAATCTACAAATACAGAAATAGTCAACAGCAGAAGCAATTCAGCAGCAACAGCAGCATAGCAGATCTATTCCGCCAAGACCAAATACATTAACATCGTCATATCCATTACCATGGCCACTTTGGGCTAACAGCTACATTAGCCAGTGCTTACCGTGCCATATCTTTGCCAAAACTGGCCTAGATATTGTTTAGGATAACTGGGTCACATTTGTGGCATCATATGTGGGCCACTTTAGGCTCACAGCCACATTAGCCAGTGCTTACTGTGCCATATCTTTGCCAAAACTGGCCCAGATACGTTTGAGGATAACTGGGCCACATTTGTGACATCATATGCGGGCCACTTTAGGCTCACAGCCACATTAGCCAGTGCTTACCATGCCATATCTTTCCCAAAATTGGCCCAGATACGGTTTTAATAACTGGGTCACATCTGTGGCATCATATCTGGGCCACTTTAGGCTCACCGCTACATTAGCCAGTGCTCACTGTGCCATATGTTTGCCAAAACTGGCCCCGATACGCTTTAGGATAACTGGGCCACATTTGTGGCATCATATGTGGGCTACTTTAGGCTCACGGCTACATTAGCCAATTCTCACTGTGCCATATCTTTGCCAAAACTGGCCAAGATACGTTTTAATGTACCGGAGCCACATTTGCTGAAACATATGTGGACCACATTTGGTTTACAGACAAATGTTTCACATGCTGAGAATGCTAACCTAACATATAAGTATATAAACCATAAATGTTTAAGAATCACTTATTAGGCTACCTCTGGGCGATTCATGATCAGGTAGATCTTGAACCATACGCTCACGCCAGAAAACTACTAAAATTGGCCAAAATGCTTCGTTTGACTTTTCGGAGATCATCTACACTTCCCTGTGGATTACCTCTGACCTACTTTCTCTACGATCGGAATTTCTGCGAATTGAATTTTAGAATATTGAATTTGATTCATCTTGAAAACTTGAAGCTGTATTTTTAAAAACTGGATATTTGCAGTCTAAGATTTCAGAA